AGCCCATAATATGGTTCGATTAGTTAATCAAATTTCTCTCTCTCTCTCTCTCTCATAGTATTTTATATCCATCTCTCTTTTAATAAAAACTCTGTTTCCTTTTGAAAAGTAAGGGCGCGTTTGGATATGAGATTGAGTTATTTTGTTTCTAATTTTCTAAGTCAAAATCCAATTCAGCCCAACTCTCATCAGTATTATTAATATGATTAAATAATATCAATCAATCATCCCCTCTCCTACTTTTACATCACGTCAACTTTAACCATTATATTTTAAATATTATTTAATTACAAACTCAAATTCATCCACTCAATCAACTTTATTCAAAATAACTCGCTTAACCAACCAAATCAAACCAAAACCGGTTGGATTCATACCCAGTCACGGCCTAAATGACTCCCTAAATGACTGAAAATAGCTTCATTATGACACAGGCAGCCGATGACTCTGTAAACTTCGATGCCAGCGAACCAGTTGTTATAGTTGGATTTGGACAGAAGGCTCAGGTGAAAGTTTCTCCATCATAATTTTTGTTTTTAACTTAATGTTGTCATCTAATGTTTCTGATGGCTGATTTCTCTCGTAAAGGTCCTTGCAAATTTCTTGTCCACCCCATTGGCTGCTGGATCAGATAGTATGGATGCAGGATGGCCTTATGTTGCTTTTGATCTTGACCTTTCTGTTGTGAAGGTAATAAAATCAAAGTGAAGTAGAAAAATATAGTACAGTGTAAGCTATTTTGTTATTAGCATAATGTGAAAATTGACTTCATTTCCGGATATTTTTTTTTCATTGATTAAACGTTTTCTTGTTTTTGTTTCAATGGCTAAAGACATCTAGGAAACTCGGGTTTCCTGTTCTGTATGGTGATGGGTCTCGTCCAGCCGTATTGCAGTCGGCAGGCATAAATTCTCCAAAAGCAGTGATGGTAATGTATACTGGGAAAAGTAGGACAATCGAGGCTGTTCAGCGCATTCGTCTTGGCTTCCCTGGGGTAAAAATTTTTATATTCTTCTGTTCCCTCCTAAGCTGAAGTAGAAGAAAAGGGAGAAGAAATGAGAGAACAGAGTTTAAAACTTTAAATTATGAATCAGACCCTTACTCCCCACTTAGTATGAGAAGAGAAGAAAGAATTAACTAATTAATTAATTAATTAGTGGACAGACATGGTTCACATTAGGCTCAACACGTTTTGAATTAATATATAGAGAGGATTTGTATCATTAGAAAATATTGATGAAGAAACTCGGTTTTGCAGATACCCATATACGCTCGTGCCCAAGACATGATGCATTTGTTGGATCTAAAGAAAGCAGGTGCAACTGATGCTATTCTCGAAAATGCAGAGGTATATCATTTCTCACTATCCAAATTTTTCAAGGTGCGTCTACATGTGACGGAGCTTTCATTTTTCAACTCTTTGCTTGAACTGTGTTTCAACAGACGAGTCTACAGCTTGGGTCCAAGCTTTTGAAGGGGCTTGGTGTTATGTCGGATGAAGTAAGCTTCTTGAGTCAGCTCGTGAGAGATTCTATGGAGTCTCAAGCTCAAGAAGCATTGGGAAGGGCCGAAGATCAAGAGTTGAACGTCATGAAACCATTGCAGGTGCGCGTGTGAACATATATTAAAATACAAAAAGTATACATGTGTTTTCATGTTTGAAGCGGCATATAATTTTATATAGTTTTGCTTACGGAAACCAAAAGTTGAACAAAACCACGAGTAACTTCCAGAAATTGCTCTCAAGAACCATTTCGATGATTTTTTTTTTTTTTCTTTTTTAACCTTTTACTTTTGATTTGATTAATTCAGTTCTGATTTTCAATTGCTCTGTTTCCTGAATACTTGATGCAATAATTATTTTTTAAAAAAAGGTGAAGGCTTCGGATTTAGTTGGGATTTATGCACCCTCAAAAGACGACGAATACCAGAAGGAGATTACACAAACGAGTAAATACAGCACGTTGAAATCGACCACTGGCAATGACCTGTCTCATGACAATGGCAAGCTCTCTTTGGACGATGAAGAAGCGAAAGGCGTGTTGTACTGTGAGATAGGTACACCAACAGAGAGCAACAACATTCAATCTCGTGATAATATTGATGAAGCTGATGTGAGAAATCCCATAGGTGTTGCAAATGAGGATCCTTGAAAGAGTTTTTCCTTCTTAGGCCTTTTGGTGTTAGAAAATAATCCTTTTTGAAATAATATATCTTGATAGATGTTCTTTTGATGCTAAATTCAATGTCTTGAGTAACCAAACATGTACATACCATTATTTGTTATGTACAAGACGCTTCATTCGATTCAAATAGTTGAATGCGCATGTTGTTTGATGGTTCACGAGAACCTGCTACCCCGAGTTCCTATCGGGAAAGAAGTATTGTATATTTTAAGACGAACAATGAATGTAAAGATAGTAAATCATGAAATATCTAAGCTCATATGTTTATTGATGGAGTTATCAAATTGCATTAAGATGGATTAAAAATTTCCATTTTTTCGATAATTTGGGAAAACACGTTCGATGACTAATCTAGTAACCTAGACTCTTCAGCTAATTTGATGACTAACTAACTAGCTTTTTAAGCAACCAAAATACCAGCTTGAATGGGGCGAAGGATTATCATTTAGAATTTGGTTCAAGAATATCCCACATCGGTTACATATTAAAAGGTAATCTTATTTATTAGTGCCAAGAAACAACAATGGTCCGCCGAGCTCAGTAGCGTGAGCTTGTCACCCATGTGGGGGCAATAAAGTGATTGGACGTTGGGCCGGTCCAGGAAGTTGGGTCATGGAAGCTTATGCTGGCCTGCCCGATCCAAGTGGGGAGATGGGTCAGGCGGCCCAAGCGAAGGCATTGGCTGCGTGATCCCTGAAGCGGAGGGCATAGCGTCAGGCTGGCCTCACAGAGCAGCGAACACCTCCCGCTCTCTACAGTGGATGGATAACGGGCCGGCGCTTACTTGTCCCACTGAAGCTTCATGGGCTGGCCTTGATTGAACAATCACTTTTTGCTTTTAATTTTCTATGTTGAATGAAATATATTATTATAATATTTTTTTGTTATAATAATATTTTAAACATTATAAATAGAAAACTAAATATATATATAATTATGTCGTCTAATTATATATCCGGTCATTTATTTATATACATAAATTATTTGTATTACTGTTTTCATGATCAATATTGAATATAAAAATGTAATGATTTGTGGTGTTAATAAAAATAAAATGCAAGATTTGTAAAATCAAGTTGTCTATCCATTTACATTAGACTTCCATTTTCATAAATTGTTAGGTATAAACCAAGATTCATAAGAATTATTGTGATCAATGTTTTTCTTCAAGTATTATACGAACACATGAAAGTACAGTATAGGAAAAAAATCAAGGCGTGTTGTTTTTATAGTCGAGAGTAGAGATGTAAATTAGTAGAAACAAGTTGAAAGTACAGTACAGGAAAAAAAATATCAATGGGTGTTGTTTTGATCGTCAAGAGTAAAGATGTAAACTACTAGAACCAAGTTTGATATTAGGCTTGTAAACAAAGCAAATTCTTTTGATTCGTGATTCGAATACGAATAATGTTTTATATTATATTTGAAAGTTAAACGAATTCGAATCCGAATTTGTAGATATTTGTTATTATCGAATATTCGATTCGTTAACGATAATTATATATATTATACGAATAATTATATATATATATATATTGTTAATAGTTTTATGACATAAAATGAAAATACATCCCAAAATAATAATTTGCCCTAAAAACATCTCAAATTGGATAGGAAAAACATAAGCAATATTTTTGTAATTATAATATATTTCGGAAAATGAATTTCGAATCGAATATGTTCAAATATTCTAAACGAATCGAATACGAATCAACAAATGAGTTTGTTTACAAAACGAATACGAAATTGAATCCTCGAATATTTTAACGAATCCAAATCGAGTATCCTAGTATTCACTTATTTTCAATTAGTTTACAGGCTCAACTAATTCATTAATATTAACTAGTCGTACTCGAATTTTAACTAATAAGGTAAAATAATAGTTCAACAAAAGATGTAAAAAGTCCTATTTATGAAGTCTAATTAGGCTTGACGAGTTGTTAAGCGACCTTAAATTTGGCTCGTTTATCAAATGAGCCAAGTCAAACTTGATTCTTGATGAGATAAACCGAGCCATTCATATAGCAACTTTTAACACAGACTAAGGAATTTACACATTGCAATTTCAGCCCAATATATAAGGTACATCTTGCTCCCATTTTTATATTTTACTAGATTAGTATGTGACAACATAGAGCTCGATAATGTTGAGAATTTTAGGGAGATCTAAATTAACATTATAAAGTTTGCTCTTAACAATTAATCCAACTTCACCATTCACAATATTACTAATAATATAATTAAACAACATCAATCAATCATTCTTACACTTCACATCAATTTTAAGTCATTATTCATCTACTCATATTCATTCTTACACTTCACATCAATTTTAAGTCATTATTCATCTACTCACATTCATTCTTACACTTCACATCAATTTTAAGTCATTATTCATCCACTCACATAATTTTAACTGACTATCACTTCACATCATTTATCTTCTACTTTTATATCTAATTTTAACTAACAGCCACAAAAGCTTCAACTAACCACGCCGGAGGGCTCGAAAACAGGGTCTGAAAAGGAACGTCCGAGGCTGCAGCGGCCTACAATGGAGCCACGATGGTTGCACTTTTAGTTGGGTAGAATCAACACAAGAAGCAATTTTTGTAGTTTGCATTTTGTAATTCACTAGTTCTTATTCTTCACTAATGAATATTAATCAAATGATAAAAAAATGAAGTCCGGAATAATCAACCAATCTTGGAAAAAAAAAAAAAGAAAGAATAATCAACCAATCATTCAAATCATACCTAACAAAGCGAAATTAGGTTAGTGTTTCTTTTTCTCTTGCTTTGTGACGAGTTGTGTGGGGAATTTATTCAGAATTTACGCATATTTGATATTTTTGAAAACTTTCCAGGGGCATACGTTTCAATTTGAACAAGTAAAACTAAAAAGGTGATGTATTGAATTGGTTAAAAAAAATAATGATGGAATTGCAAAATTTGAAAAATCATGGAGTTAATAGGTTGGGGTTATAAAGTTCACACCAGCAAACACAAAAGACAATAAAAATAGGAGGATCTCTTCATTCTCAAAAAATGTCAAAATATTTCAGAGTAGAAGCTGTTGCAATGCTAAATGGATACACATCTTCAATGGACTCTTTTTATGGCGAAATCTCGACTAATAAAATCTTATGGGACGTATTCAGACAAGAGAAAGTTCACCGGCTGGAATCGATCTTTTCACAAGTTTAGCCCACGCCTCATTCGTTTCCGTTATAACCTTAAGAGCAAAATCCTGTATAACCACAAAAACAAGATTAAACACAGTGACCATAAAATGGGATACTTTTTTATAATTAATAGTTAAGAAGGTTGACTTCACGGTTAATCATCCATATTTTTTCAACATAAATGCATACTTTGAAAATGAAATATCATACTCTAAAAAACAACAGAAGCAACATTTATGTTAAAAAGGTAAGTATGCATTTATATGTTAAAAAAGTACGAAAGGTCAATCCGTCTAACTGTTAGACCTCGTCATGATAGAATAATGGTATTTGAAATAATAATACCTTATTTGCTGGCTTGTTACCAAGACCGAACTTGTTAGCCGGTTTCCCATCAGGAATCTTGTAGTCTCTAAACCAATCCCTGATTGAAGTTAGAGTACCCTATAACAAATGGTGCAAATGAGCTCAAGGCAATAATAATAAAAATAATAAGCAAGCAAAAAAAAATTCTATCATGAAGAAAAATTGCAGCATTCAGTAGTCTATTTACCGGAAAATGCTTCTCGACATCATCCACGTCATTAACAATGGAAGCTCTAGGGTCATCCAATGAAATCGCGATAATTTTCCAGTCAAGCTCCCCTTCGTCAATCATAGCCAAAGCAGCCAAGGGCTTCACTCTCAAAACTTGCCCGATTTTAGCTCGGTTTTCCCCAATCTCAACGACATCAACTATGAAAAGCGAAGTACCAATTATTATTAAACTTTCAACTACTTTTACTTACTTTATTTCTGGTTTTTGCTTCCTTTTCAGGGATATATAGAATTGTTATTTGATAAGGAAAGACAAAATGCAACATCGAAATTAATGATGATCGTGCACCTGGATCGTTGTCGCCAAATGCCCCATCGACTTCTGCATTTGCAAATGACGGGTCTTCCCAAGTTTGTGGAAGCAATCCATAGTTCCAGTTTATGTTGTAGCTACAAAAAAAAATGAGAAATAAATACATGTACAGAAAGCAAGGTATAACTATGTCAATTCAGTGAAGATAAGATAATAACAAGTTTGGACTCAATTTGAACATCCAACTTGAGTCAAGATACAAAAATCCAGTGACAAATAAATCCTAAAATGATTTGACGTCTGCAGCAAAAATTATAGTCTAAATTCTGTTTTATATATATCCACATGAAATAAAGATAACTAAATACAATATAATTCATTGTTCACTTTTGAGAGGTCATTTGATCAAATTCCCATATGTTAGATACATGAAACAAACAGACAGACTGCTGCAAAATCCTTTTAAAAATATCTCAAGACAAGTGAATCATTCTGAAGAGTGAGATTGGAACTTATATGTTCTTATAAGAGAACAGCAAATGTGGGGCAAGATGTAATTGGCATCAAAAGAGTATATACACAAATGTACACAAATAAACTAATGGGGAAATCATATGAAAGAATAGAAAAGCCAAAAGCATACTTACGGGTAGTATCGAAGTTTTCCCTTCTTTGTATCTTGCTTAATAGGAGTAAAAACCTCATCTGTAGCAACCTCCATCTTTGCACTTGATTCTTTTGGAATCTCAACAATAAAATTGAATGCACCATCTCCCACCTGCAACGGTATATCATGCCAAGGGGAAATCTGCACACCAGACAACAACAATGCTCGGAATTAGCTGATAAGTACACATTCATTATAGAAATAAAAATAATACTCATTTATATAAATCACTGCTGCCATATGTTCTTCATTTCTCACTGCCTTTGACAATGTCTAGCGTCGACTAACCCTGAAATTTCCCGTTTCCTAATAGAAATGCTACAACAAAATGATGCTTTGTTTTTCCTTCACATAATTGCTAGTTGCTACATGTCCCTAATACTAATTGGAAAAGAGAAATCTCAAATCACTCAACACATTAACCCAGAAAAATGCATTGAATTACCATTCCCAAATAATTAACCAATCAATATTCAGAATCAACTAACCAACCTCTGGAAAAATTAAAAAAAAAAAAAAACAAGAGCACAGTTTTCCGAATGTATTCAATTAATCCGAAGAAACCAAGAAAATCCCAATTAATTACATCCATGACGATAGCAACAAAACATCCCATCTCGAAGTTTCATATACCTTTTTTCCGGCATTATCGAGGAAGAACACGCGGTAGTCTAGGGTTTCGGGTTGGCCCTCTTCCTGAATCTGAATTTGGGGATTGTAAATCGCTCTGCAACTTAACAGCCGGCTCTTTTGCGTCAACGACCTGTGGTTGCTTCTGAGGCTGAAGCTGAGAATCTGGGGCTTTCCCCTCAGCGGAGATCTCGCGAGCAGGGTGCCGGTGACGGCGTTGCCGGCCGACGCTATTACTCTCGTGGTCGCCATTGTTGTCGATGAGGGAGAAAGCTCTGTGGACTGCGTATGAAAATGATGTAAACACCAAATGGTGGCCGCTAATTGGTGAGTGGTCTGTGTGGTGACTCTGAGAGTGTCAATCTTTTTGTTATATTTTATTTTTCTTCCTTTTTTGGATCTTCTGTTTAAAAGATTCTGAATCTAACCGTAATTGTGGGCATGTTCATCACAGTATCAATGCGAAATCATTTTTTAGTGTGGATAGGTTCATTTGCCTTTTAGTTTAGGGTAAAGGGAATATTATATTCAAACTTTACTATTAGGTCACGCATTATAATTTAAATAAATAAAATATTCATAAAACATTTAAAGTGATAATAATACGTATAGTAGTTGATAAACTATTTTTCTAAATATAATATAGTAGTTGATAAACTGTGTTTATAATCACTATTATCATTTTATAAATAATAATCACTATTTTCCAAAATACCATAATTTTTTTCATAGAAAATTTAAAACTAAATGCATTAAACTTATGAAAAAAAAATTGTGATATTGGACAGAAAAAAAGTATTTGCTACATTTGTGACACTCCTTTTAACACTTTTCTCTAATATTGTCTATATAGTGGCATAATTTTCAGCATTTCTGAGAAAATAAAGACATTATTAATACTATACAGATATCCCAATATTCGAATAATTAAAATTAACTTGTACAAATATGAGCTAATTAAAATTAAAAAAAAACTTAAATTAAATACTTAAGAGAAAAATGACCCAATTTTATTCTGCATGCATTTAGTTTAAAATACAAAAATAACCTAATTTCGGTCCCCATGCATTTAGTTTAAATATATAGTTCACGTATTTTTTACTTTATTTTATTGGCAAAGTAAGTTTCAAAATTTCATTTCATTGCAAAATAAGTGTCGTTGTTTGTCCCATTTTGTTTCATTTTTCGCTATTATTTTACTTTTCTTTTATCCCCATATTTAAGTATTTCCTTTGGTTTTTGGTCCGTTTTGTGTCTTAGCGTGTGTTTCCTTTGTTTTGTTTGACTTAGGAGTTCTTGTTTGTTTTTCCTATTTTTCTGCGTTTTTCTTGTCGATTGTGGTGTGCATGTTAGGTGGATCTGCAGTTATTAATTTTAAGAGAGAAATGGCCGGGCGAGATTTATTATCTAGAAGGTTGAGTTCGGGTTGAGTAGGAAAAGACGGAATCCAATTCCAAGTCCGGATGTGTTCGTGCGAGCTCAAATACCACAGACCTGTTTTTCTTCACCGCGGGTTGCGAGGTACTCCTGCGGCCGCGAGAGGGTCAAAAATTACAAACTGCCAACATTTCTTCGCTGCGGCCCGCAACGTGGTTACGCGGCAGCGGGACAGTTTTGCGATCGGAAGTTCGCGGCCTCGGGCGTAGTCGCTGCAGTGGAGCGTTTCTTCGCTGCGGCCCGCGGAACTCCCCGCGGCCGCAGAGGCTGCAAATTTCTGAAATGTTGGGACGGTTTCAGACGGCGAAAATGGAGGAGATTCAAATTTCTTTCGTGATAAACATATGCTAGGGCTGGAGAACAATTACTTTAGACTTGTTTTTATTTTCTTTTCATCTCCAAACACCTTTTTTCTTCATTTTCACTTGGAATTCATTGGGTTTTGCTTGGATTTGAGTTTTGGAGATTGTGGCCCTCCAAAACGAACAAGGTTAGATTTGTAATTTGATTTCGTTCTTGACTTGGATTAGTCGTGATTTCTTTTCATTTGATTATGGATGTGAATTATTGTGTTGAATCTATTGTTGAGATTGATATGAATATGTGTGGCTAAATTGTTCCGTTAGGGATAGGAGATATTTGTTTTGGTTTGATTGAGATTCATGTGCTTGCAGTCGATCAATCTATTTGAGTTGTGTTTGATCTAGGGTTAGATGATTGATCACCATTCTAACCTAATTAATCAATTTATAGAACCGAAAGGGGAGAAATTGATCGATCTTGGCTCGTTTAGAGGACTTGTTCAGAAATGTATTGTCTATGTGTTGATTGTTTCGATAATTGATTGTGTACGTTTGTTCTCTTATTACGAAGAGTTATTGAGAACACAGCACTTAACGAGTAGGTTATTTGATCTCTTAACCGAGCGACAGTGTGCTTATTGATTGCTTGAGAACCATAAAAGAATATCTCCGATTCCCTAACTCTCCAATCATTATCTAAATTCGTGAATTTTAAGCGTGTTCTAGCTTATTCTTAGAATTTGTAGTTGATGATTGAAACCATATCAATTGAATTATAGTGTTTAGGATTTAATTTCTCTTTTTGTGATTAAATATACGTACGAAATAATCCGGCTAACCCTCCTTGCGATACGACCCGGGGAACGAATCTTTCAATTCTATCCAGTAAAAATAATTACATGCGGTGGTGATCATAATTACATGCTGATATAGCCATATGTGTGTAGACCAGATTACAAGTGTAGGGAGCTTGACTAGGGTAAAAGACAACCTGAATAGGTCGACTTCATCATTAAGACTACTTGGAGGCCAAAACAGTTGGAAGACGACACAAAGCGACCTGGAAACCATAAGAACGACTTACCCTTACATGAGTCAAATGACTAGACCCACGAGGACATAGTGCAACGCGACCTCTACCACCTAATGATGACCTAACCCAATTAACAGCTCGAGGTAGGATCATGGAGCATATAAACCTCATGAAGGATAACGACCTAAGACCAACAGATGTCAAAGATAAAAAAGAATCTTAAGTGGATAAGATGGAACCTAAAAGTGACTGAGAGATGATTAAGATTTGGATAAGCATTAAGTTCGAACAGTCGGGCAGGCAGCCCGATGGCCAGCGGGCAGAACATTTCGGGCAGGTATTTGCCAAACCGCAACTTTAGATTCTCCATGCATTACATACGACTCTCATTTACAGAACATCCCTATCATCTTTTAGAGATTGACTTAAGCATTAGAGGCTCTTCGTCGGAATCTCTTTCGGCGTTGAGTTCATGCAGGTACACGCGTAGCAGTTCAGGCAGAACAAAGCTCATATCAACCAGTTCTATCAAGATTTGGGTAGTGACCAATCACATGCAACATGGATCAATTTTTATAAAGTTACGAACAGGTAAACGTTAATGTTCATGTCAATTACAAATTTTTTATTTTTGCACGGAATTCATGAAAAATATAATTCTTTAATGTATTTTTAAGAAATGTACATTGATGTAGACATGACTAATGGCTGAACAGGATGGCCCGGAACCAGCCCGTGGTCAACTGGTCTTGAACGGGGCCCCTGGTTTGACCGAGCCGATCTCAGGCTACATATATATACTTCTTGAATCGGGCCGGTTCAGGACCAGAACCTGTAGTTCGGTCATTTTATCTCTCTCTTTTTTTTTTGAACATTGTATTATTTATTATTTATTTTTTCGTGGACCGGCACAGCTCAGAACCGGTGGTTCACTGAACTGGCCTAAAACCGTCGGTTTAGGGCCGTTCAACCCTTGGCCTGAAACCGGTTTTGGTACCTGATGGAGTTTTTATAAAATAATCAGAAAAAAGTTTTTAAATTGTATTATATAATTTTTAAAATAATAAAAGCCATTTCAATAAAATCAACATTTGTTATATATGATATGAAAAAAATAGTTAATGCACTGTAGTTGTTGACAACCGACCTGATTTGTTGGGATTAAGGTGGAGATTAATAAGAATTATAAAATTTCGCTGCTCAAACCAGCTCATACGCCAAACTTAACTCAACTCGGTACAAGTTGAACGTCAAACCGACTTCATACTCAGGAAGACAACCGACTTCTCAAAAGACCCCTTAAGTAACCGACTTCTCAAAGGTTCCTTCTTGAAGATTCTTCCTCCGAATCGAGGTCCGAGGTGACCGAAGCCCGAAGCAGGTGACGAGGTGCCCACATGAGTGGACCACGTGCAATATTGCAATCATTGTTGTCCGCCTGCTGACCGGCAAACTGTTTCATAAAGTTACTTTGCATTTAATGCAATCACACCTACCTCGTACACAAAGTCAAACACACACTACTATAAATAGCGGAATTTATTATTGTACGAGGGATCTTTTGACGAATATTTAATACGCACATGCAAATTAGCTCGAACTACATACAAACCGACTTCTTGTACTCCACAAAAACACAACAATAATACAACTTCACTTTTTATGTTTTAATTATATCTTGTTTATCGTTGTTAATTTCTATACAACAACAGTTGTATTGAACTTTATCTACTGCAACAATTCAATAGCGATAATATATTTTCGTCATTCTCTTAGAAAATGTGTTATAATTAAAAAAATAAAAAATAATTGACCTATTATGTCATTTCTATTCATAAAAAAATATAAGTGTAATTGTGGATCAATAAAAAAATTAAAATGAAGGCAGTCATTATACTCACAAACTTTTAGATGACATCAAATTTAGGCCTAAATGAAACAAATGATACACTAAAAATAATATAAATTAAACAAACTCTAGATTTTTGGTTCAAATTTATTCAATCAATTAACACCAATACAAAAGGTACCAAAGCTATATCATTACACTCTCTCTGGTCGAGACCCTTTGAATATTTTTGTTATATTTTTTTCTTTTTACAATATTTGTATGTTTCTTACCGATAAATAAAATCAAATTTTGATATCATATTCGAACACTAAATTATAATTATTTTGTTTTGTATAGAAACTATGATAATGATGTTAGAGTAGGGTACCCGGCGTTCCAATCTAATTGGACGTATTCTACTTGTAAATACAGTCTATTGGAATTATATTATGAATAAGGCATTTCTTTATCTTAAGAGAAAGCATTTATCTTATAATTGCATTTAAGATAAAATCCCTAGATCACTTATGGTTATAAGGTATGGTTGCGCATAGAGATGGTGATCATGGAACATACCTTGAAAGCCGTGATCTTAAATACAGTTCCAAGTCGATGGATGTTTCGAGATGGGATATCGAATAATCCATAAAAGACTTGCACATAGTTTGTATGCTTGTTGGACAAGAATGTTGCATTCCATCAACATTAGCGTAAGACGTAAGTACATTTATGTGGGTGCTTGTTAGAGAACAAGTTCACTGAACATGACCGTATGAAAATTCTTAATGAAGAATTTATTCAGTCGAATAAGAATTTTCATGTTACAATAGTACATGACTAATCCTAAGACTTGAGGCACAATGGTAACTTTGTGCATATTACATTCTACTTTGATTTATCCTTTTGGTAGCTAGCACTATC